GTGCGAATATATATATATATATATATATATATATATATATATATATATATATATAAAACACTCCCTTCCCTCCCCCCCGCCCAACGAGAACAAACGACGATAAATAATGTATTCACGGACCGAATACACGACAGAATAATATAATCAAGGAATAATACAATGTAAACGTAGTGAACGAGAACCGCATAAACGACTCGTGCGTCAACAAAGACACCGTCCTACGTCTTCGACATTGCGACTAATGCATCAGAGCGGCGATGCAACCCGGGCACGACCCAGTTTTTTTTTCTTTTTCTTTTTTACATCTCTCTCTCTCTCTCTCTCTCCCTCTCTCTCTCAACATCTCGTCTACATGGCAATCGCGACTTGCGCGACTCACCTGCACGTGATTATCACGTTAACACACTATGATCGAGCTACAACGACGGCCATCTCTACGTTAACGACTCGGCCGTGTAGGTGTGTGTATATATATGTATTTATGTATGTACTCTTTTATGTATATATGTAATCGTAGATCGCGCGCAACGCGCGTCACCGCTCTCTGTTGTACGATATTAATTATTAATCTGAGACTCTCTTTAAGATACGATTCTATCGACTCTCTTGTTTTCGGTGGTTTCCCAGCGTCCCAAGTGGCGGCCTTTAACAGCCGACCTGGTGCAGCATCGACGCGAGTCGGAACACGCGCATCCAGGCGAACATTCCGGTGGACGGTGAGCGACAGACTGCCCGTGTCGATGACGCTGACGAGCCTTTGCGCTCCGTGGAGGACGACGGGCGTCGCGACGTCCGGCTGAGGGTCGCATCGACGGACGCGGCGTCGCTCTCCGACTTCCTCTGCTTCTGCTGCTGTTGCTGTTGCTGCGGTGAGTACTTCATGTCTGCGAGACGCGGAAAGAGAAGCGACAATGAATATCGGAAGAGGGACACGTTCTCTGTCTCTCCCTGTCTCTATCTTTCCCCCTTCCTTTCCCTCTCTTTCTCTCAAAGTAGAGATTATCAGATAGAGAACGAGCTGGAGAACTTATCACCGAAGCCATCGTAGTTGCGTCGTATTATCTTAATAAGAAACTATGGGAGCGTGCTGTACGTTTTAACGAAGCTGATTAATCATCCGAGCTTTCTTAATGGATCGAACGAGAGATATGTATTATTTTTGTGATTCTTGGGTTCCGGATTATGCACGAAAAATGATGAACGTGAAGGAATTGTTCTACTTGTGACTTGCGTGTGACTCGAGCTTTATATGCAAGCTTAACGTGTTCACGTGCACGGTCACGTGACTTTGGTGCGCGAGCAATTATTATTCCGACGATATAAATCTCCGCAATCGCGCGAATATTCCTTCTCATGAATCTTGATCAGCAAGGATACGTGGGTCAACAGAGCTTTTTGCGTAAATGCCATGTCAACCCCTTGACTATCCATGCTTTAACGCTCACTTGCGCACCCATTATCATGTAAAGAAGTCACTTGATAATGATATAATCGTTTTTACGAAAACGTTTCTACGTTTTTTTAGCGTGTTGGCTCACCAATTCAAAGTATGGAAAATGTACAAATTCGAGAGAGGTAAACTCCTATTGGAATCATCAGGCGAAATATTCAACGCAGAAATTGATTTCAGAAAAGAGAACAGAAAGACTGTCCAAAATGCTGAATTGTATTCTCTTACACGATACCGTCTCATGACCGTTATTCCGACGTCGAACCAAGTATGTCACCAAGTATGTTGAAACAACAAATGTAACGACACGTCGCCTCCACCGTGCGACTGTTTACGCTGTTACGAAATCGCTGTTTCCAGGAGCGCGATCGCTAGGTGGGCGTCTCGACGACGGCTGGCGCACGCGCCACTTTCGGCCAGCTGATTCCCTAGACCTACTTTTCGCCCGATGATGCGAGCTGACATCACATATGTATACACGCGGTCGCGTCACTCTCGAGCTTGCGCGGCGCACGATTCTGCTTCGGCGCCGATTTCTCAACAACGAGCCGATTCGTACTACAAAGATCCTCTCGCTCCACAAGGACGGCATCTCTACGAATAATCGTTGAAATTATTCGACAGTCCTTTTTATCATTTCCTATCGTGATCTGTCGCTTTCTTTGAAAATAGTCGGAACTCTAGTGAGATGGTTCTTTAACAAACAGCTGTGAACGAGTTAACGAACTTGTCTGTATCCCAGCGCGTTTTCCTGTTCTATCGGTTTATCCTATCTTTCTCTTTTTCCACGTAACGCTTTGTAACCAGACCGACGGTCGTAAGGATTACGTGATCGTGATGTCACACGTCGTTAATAGCGAACGAGACGCGTATTCCGCCTGTCTTTTACACGGTCGAGTGTGGGGCGACTTGTAATCGCAAACGTGCACCTTTAAACCATAATTTTCTTTCGATATAATTTCAGAATAATCGAGCGACTTTTTCTTTCGTTCTTGTTAACAATGCCGTAATACAGTACGACAGATGCGTCGTCGTACCATATATGAACTTGTTCTCTCAGTTGCAAAGTTGAAATGATCGCGAACGTGTAAGTGGCGTGTGTGCGTGCGCGAGCACGCGTGCCGAGATATTCCGTGCCCTAAATCTTGGCCGTTGCTCGAGGCCGTCCTTAGACCTCCACGCGCTACTTCACTACTGAATGAGCTTTACTTGATGCGAAGGTTACGGGCCATTGGCAAATGCGGAATACAAATCGCCCTCGTGCTCGCGTACTGTACCGCGAAATTATCGTCGCGTGTTCACAATGACGAAGCGCCGTTATGATATCGGAAGAATTCGATTGTCGTGCTTACGAGAAAATAGACTTTACTGTCGATCAGCGCGTTGTCACAATTTCGCTGATTCAGTCTCTCATTTCTCGCTGGCGTTGGTCAGTAAATCTTGACAATTGACACAATTTAAAAATGTGTGACACCTGTTCCTTTCCAGATTTATTCGTAGAACATCCCTGTAGCACGACCGCGTTTCGAAGAGTCCAATCGTTTCGAACCGTCCATCTCGGTTGGCGCGCGATTACGCTACGGCGGTGTAAGCTCGATATTCCCGTGTTTAATATCGAACGACCGCGTTAATTCGCTGATAATGAACCCCAAGTGCGCTCAATTATCGATTAATTTGATGCGACAGCCGGACGCACTCTGCCACGACGGCAGTTGCAACGATCCGACGAAAGAACAAGCTCGAAAAATCCGCTTTCGCAAGCATTTGAGAAATCGGTAGACTTCGCGTGTTATTCGCGAATGTAGCGAACTAGTGTTATTACGAGAGAGAGAGAGAGAGAGAGAGAGAGAGACGACAATTTCGCCCAAACACTAGCGATGTGTGTCGAGGAAAGGGAAGAAACGCAATAGCGCGAATTAAGTCGCGCGTCGATAAGTTGTGTGTCGTTTTTCGTGCTTTGCTACGATGGCTTCGGCGCTATCACAGGCCGATCGTCGGGGCTAAATGTCAAAATGCCACATTGAATCGATCCGCAGTTAACCCTAGAACCCGAATACGGGGCTGAATATGTCCGGACTCGACGACAGGCGGATTCGACACCGCGCGAAACTGACAACGCTTCGAGACAAACATTTTGGGGAAAAAAAAAAAAAACGAAAGAATCGAGAAATGTCGCGAACAAGCCCCGAGATATACCGTGTTTTTCGCTCTCCATCTGTTCGACCACAAATCGTCCATACGTTCGCGCGGAACGTGTCGCCGGTTTCTAGAATCAAACGGTTCTTCGTCGGTCTTGAAGAATCGAGAGCGCGATCCTGTCGGACCGCCTGCTGATCGTCACTCACCTGATCGATTCGTGTTCGATCGCTCAAGCCCGTCCAACGAGCGAGGATGTTCGAACTGTCGCGGTGGCTCGTCAGAGTTGTAGCTGGTGTGTACGCGCGGCGTGTTCCGCAGTGATTACGAGCGCGGCGCGTAGCGTTCTGCGGAACAACGCGACGACGAGGTGCACCGGTACTACCGATGCAACCGAGAGAGAAAGAGACAGAGGGAGAGGGTGGTCGAGGAGAGAAGAGGAGAGGAGAGGAGAGGAGAGGAGAGGAGAGACCCTCCTCTCTTCATCGTCGCACCTCGACGTCGACGCGATCGTTCGGACGGCGCGGTGAACGTGGTGGGGTGCTCGTCTTCGTGGTCGTGCACTCCGCAGCGCCGGCGCTGCATCGACCCATCGCGGTTCCTCGATGATGTACGAAAAAGACTACGGTTCCTATCGTGCGACACATCGACAAACGAAAGTCCGTCGTTCTCGCACGTCCGCGAGGACGTGTATCTTCGGACGTATCTTCGGGACGAATTGAAGAGCTCGCAATTTCAAGGGCTCGCGTGAAACAGGCGTCCCACCCTCGCTCACTCACCCGGTGATCCGAGTGACAAAGTTGAGAGGACAAACATGAGAGGAAGTTGCTGCGCGAAGACACGTCCCAATTTTATGTCCGTATTTTGTCCGATTAAGGAGCTTGGAAGGAGCAGCTTGCCTGTCGCGATAATTAAAACTCCCTAGTTCCTCCTGTTCGTCCGCGGCGCTCTTAAAACGTGACAAGAAAGACCAATTTTCGGCGAAGAGTCGAGCGACGCGCCGGATATATCTTCCGCTCCATCGCGTCGTTCCTCTCGTCTTCGCTTTATTTGCTCCCTGAAGGCAATTATCTCTGCATTTGCACTGTCGATTGCAACCCGTATGAATGCGCAGGGTGCTCGTACGGGTTTCCGACGTACGATCGGACCAGTCTTCAGCTGTTCCACTGTACTGTTCTGACGAAACTTTGACCGGCACCTTGAGCACTTGCCAAAAGTTATCTGATTTTTATCTTCTTTCATTATTCTGACACCTCGACAGCATCGAGCATATTCTCGCCGGCGCAAACACACTGTCCATCCCGATGGTCGATACATTTGTTCTTGGATTTTTTCCAATATAGCAAGTCACACACGAGAGTGATTGCTGCGTCCAACTTGGCGGTTGCATTAACCGCGAGATGTAGCAAATTCTAATGAGCCTCCTATTGTCCACTTTGCTTTCAGGTGCTATCAGAATACGGATAAAGAAGAAAGGGCTCCTTTTCGTAGTCGAGTTCACTTCTAGTCCCGAATCATTTGAAGGATCGTGGTTTACTTTTTTAACTCATAAGTATACAAGCACGTGGCTTTGCGCGCAATTTCGAAGCAAGTGTGTGTATTGAATTCCGTCCGATTTTTCACTCTTTTCATCGCGTCAATAGCATTTTGCCTGCCTGAAATAGCATTTTGGAATCGTATCCATTTGAATTATTCAAAAATGACACGAGGATTCTGCTCGATAATAATAGTCGAAACATTATCGTGACATTGATTCTCGAGCGAACATTGACGATCTCTCTCGTATATATGAGAAATATATCCAACGATCAATTTATGTAGATAAACCTTTTCGCGTTGAGTAGTCACGCCTCGCGATAAGTCTCATCTTACACGAACGACAAGTGAAAATGGCGAAAAAAAGTGTCGATTAAGGCTACATAATTCTCGGTTGGATTCGTCTAATAATACGAAACTCGCGTGTTATCGCGGTGCGAGAATCGTAATGGCCGCATTCGAGCGAGACTCGATTACGAGCCGAGGTTACACGAGTGTGTTTTACGCTGTACAAACGCTGCTAATGCACACGCAAAGTGCGTTTATCTGCTCCGTGGAAATAATCTTTCATTAGAGGTGGCATGGCGCGTCGCGTCACACATCGCGTCGCGCTATACCGCATCATGTCGGGGGGTAAAAATAGTTTGCGTACCCTTTTGACGAACGCCACGCTGTGGTTTCAGGTCAGCGAGACGCCTACAAAGGATTAAAGAAAAAAAGGAGATATTATTCGTCGCGCTATTTTATATTCGCGCTATAAATAGAGCGAAAGACGTGAATTCGCGTTCATAAACGTGATTCTTGATTACCAAGAATATAAAGCCCCTTGATACCAAGAGCATAGCGAGTCCACCTGATTGAGTTTCTCGGCAAACTTAAAAAGAAGGAGATAAATCTCTCATTCGGAGATTCCAACTTTTCGTTCTTTGCGCGTTTATACGCGTTAAAATTAAACCCAACAGAGTAGTTTTGCAAACAAGCGAATGTGGCTTCAACATGGATTACTGAGGGGCTTAATAAGGGGTTTGTCGGTGAACGGGGGTTTCTCGCAGCGAAAGAAAGAAAAGTTATACCTTTTCGAGTGACCGTACAGTCTTTGTGTACAACATTTATTCGCAGCGCGTTAATGAACTAAGATCGTTTGTGACGAAAATACCCGCTTTGCGTGTATTACTGATAATTATAACTTGCTTAATGGACCATGGGGCTTCAATTTCTTATAAATACTCGATGCACCACAGAGTGGCCTTAAACCCCAGTGAATGTTCCTTCAATCGTAGCTTCTTTGACTGATTTGAGGAGGATTTTTCCTAGACGGAAATGTCGGAGGTTATTCTTCACTTTTTAACATCGTTAAGACGGGCATGCTGAAGTCGATGATGAACAACAATGTCGATAACGCAGAGACGATCGTCACCGATACAATCACGCTATCCTTCTCATATTTCTTGTACCACATACAGAACTTGTGTATTGCTTTGTCTTAACATATTCACAGCGGAAAACCTAACCACGCATGTGTAGAAATTTTTCTGCAAACTTTTCGGATATTCTCAAGCTTCTGAATTCAGATGGTATAGAAATATTCTTCAAAATTTTTCTATTTGGAGTTTACCCATATTTTCGGTACGTACAAGCTGCAGAACTTTTGGATTAGGCAAATATTACACTAACTGACAGCTGGAGATTTTACATTTAAATTCTTTTTTCGTTTTCGTCACATGTTAAGCAATGCTCCTATTTATTTTTGCACGTATTTTTATTGTGTAAAAGCACTTGTAATTCTGTACAACCAATACGACGTAAACTTTGCAGAAGAATGTCAATATTCTGTCGCGGTAAAGTTTTCAGCATAAAGTTTTCCACCTTAAAGGTGGAAGATAAATCTTCGAATAGGAACTCTCTCGAATTAAATCGATTTTAATTGTTAATTGAAAACTCGTTTTCGATTCTCATCGTCGACTTTTTTTGTCGACGCGTTGAATGTATTTTAAATTACTGAAGAATCGCGAAGAGGATATCCGGGGCAATTTTAATGCGTTTCGTGTAATTTTTTCTGGAGACTCACCTTTCGCCAGTGTACCACGTCGAAAAGTACATGCTTTTCGTCGGTGTAGACGGACTCTTGGGTGTGTTGGTGGCCAACGGTGATTTCGACGACGACGACGACGACGACGACGACGACGACGACGACGACGAAGATAGGGTCGAGACGCCGCTCTCCGGTGTACACGGCGATCGGTTCTCTTCGCTGGCAAAGGTACTCGGTTGCCAAGAGTATCTGGTCTTGGCGTGAGGACTGCCGCGAGTGGGACTCGAGCCGCGGGAGCTGGACACGCTCATGGGACTCTTGGGACTCTTCTGAGCTCCTGAGACGAAGACGCGGCTCAGCCGCAGTCTCAGAGACGTTTTGCACTTGGGTGACGGGAAACAATTGCTGTCGACACTCGAGAGCGCCTGTTCGGCTGATTCCGAATTACTCGTCATGATTCACCGCGATGGCTGATATGTACGCTTAAAAAGTCTCCCGAAAAAATGTCAACCGTATACAATGCGCGATAATGCGTTGCTCAATAATGTAAAATAATATGTAAAATTGCTTTTATCATAAAAATTTTCATTTCGTGTATCAACACGTGATCTCGACCGTGAATAATACTAACAATTACAGTATCACTGTACCGTAAAATATAAATATTAGAAAAATTGTACGTCGAATATATAGCATGTGATGCCAAGATTATTGCTCCCTTTGCGTGTCTAGAAAAATGTGTTTTTTCCTCGAAATACGAGATTTGTTGCTTTGGTTGGAGAAAATGATAGAAATCGAGCAACACGAACGATGAAGATGTCGCGAATCACGCTCGCCGTTGGTGAATGTACTGGATTACGCAAATCTCACTTACGCACGCACGCACGCACGCGACACGTCGCACCAGAATGCCATTTGGAGAGCGACTATAACGGGAAAAGAAATTTCGCTGACAAGTCGAGTAAAACCCTCAAGTAACCCAAGACGACTTCCTGTCGCCACTCGACCGCATCCTTTCCCACATCCTCTCAGTCAACTCCTTTATCAAGGATTTTTACGCGTGAATACGAGGAAGAAGGCCAATGATAAAATAAAGTAGAAGCTGTTCGGATATGAAAGCGATAAAATATCGGGAAGCACTCAGGCAGGTTCGTGTCTAATCTAATCGGCGCTCGAAAATCATAGCGTGTCAATGACAGTTAATCGCATCGCACATACTTGACTGGGTTACTCTCTATAATCTGCAAGCGATTCCAAACGCTTTGGATGTTGAGACAACAACCGGCTGCTCGCACGGCGCGAAAAACGGCGGAAAAGCAAAAATACTGCAAACATATAATTGTCTAGTTTGTATATTGCCGTCGTTTTACAGACATCAACACATTGGTTGCACGATGCAATCGGCACGATGATAATAAATAATCGGACGACGCAAGTCCGTTCCACCCGGACCGAAATACGGCGACCTGAGAATATCTTCGGTGATGATGAAGAGGAGAAGCAGGGTCAGAGTCAAATCCGACCCCTGTGTCACAATGCACCTAGTAGTTGTATTAACACGGCGACATACTTATCAACAATGTAACAACGATTCGTCGCTATTCGAACATGAACGCTCCGAGTGTACCATCCGCAAGAGAGAGAATACCATCAGTGGCGTGAATATGACTGAGATGAATGGAACGGATGGGTGTAAGAGGAGAAGAAGAAGAAGAAGAAGAAGAAGAGGGGAGAGATGTAGTGTGAGTGATGATAATCGTACTAATGTGTCGTGACAGCCGTCGTGCGCGGCATCTAGCGCGCGCGAACGCGTTCTGACACCTCTAACCGCACGGTGCTGCGCACGTAGTGCGCGTTACGAGCGCTTACTTAGTTGCTTGTTCTAGATATGCGATCAAGTCGCCACGTTCTTGCGGCTTCTTCAATCCGGCAAACACCATTTTTGTGCCGGGAATGTACTTCTTTGGATTTTCCAGGTACTCGAACAGGGTGTCCTTGGTCCAGGTGATACCTGAAACGAAATGCAACTCGTAAGCTCGCAGATTGGGGGAATCTTGTCGAGTGCTCCATCTTGTCAACGTATACAGAATTACTGAGTCAATTGAAAAGCAATCAGAGGCTCTCAAAATTTACAATCAAAATAATACAAGATATGTGAGAACCAACGGTGAGATACAGTTAATTTAATATATCTAGCGTTGACTCTTGTACGCCTTATATTATTTTGTTTTAAATTATTGTTTGAGTATCGTTGCGCACACGACAATCTTGAATTACGTAGTTAAACATTTCTGTTAACCATCGATTTGTTTAATCAGAGTTTGGTCATTTTTACCTTTAAATTACAATCATGAACGGTGGAAGCTGTATAGATTTGTACTACTGATAATAAAATTTGCACATTTGCAGTCTTAACTTGTTAAATTCGTCGATCACGTGGCGACTTACCCTTTGCTTTGTTAGCCTCCGTGTACGAGTAACCCGGTGCTTGGCCAGTTTTCCTACCCATAAGACCGTGTAAATTAGGACCTACTTTGTGTTTGCCACCTGCTTCGACGGTATGGCACTGCGAGCACCTTTGCACGAAAAGCTGGGGAAGAAAATTTTGTAAACTATTCATTCACAGCATCATCTTATATATTTAACAAATTACAACTGTTCTTATTACCTTTTTGCCTTTCTCCACATCACCAGCGGGAACACCCATCCTTGTTTAATTGTGCAAACTGGAAACAGACATCCAATTATGAGAAAGTCGTTACGTTGTAACATAACGCGTACGACACACAAGTGAATCTCTTTTATCTTGATTTCTCCAAACATTGATATGAGAAATTAAACGTTAATTTTATTGTGCGTGAATGAAGTTAAAAGTAAAGGCTGAGCTTTCAATGATTTAAAATAGTCATCGGCACACAATGACATTCTGATTGACCAGTAGTAAATACGATCATTTCGCAACAGTGATTTCAAAATCATTGGCATCAAGAAGAGAATGTGTGTGCGAGCAAAAATACACGGAAAAAAGTGTCTATATAAATTATTTTTCCAATGTCCTACATTTGTTTGTAATATATACTTTGTACGAAGCATACTTACGTAAGAAATGGAAAACAATCGCGATATTAAGAATATATTTACAATATATGTATAAAATAATATATAGTAATTGTGGGCGTGTGTTTGTGATATATATATATATATATATATATATATATATATATATATATAACATGTTATGTAATATTTTGTTATATAAAGAACACTTTTGACTGTACAACCGTGAACAATTTTCTCATCTTCACTCGAAATAACTCGAAAGTAACATTGATAGACCGCACAACAAATCTTAAAATATTACGGTGTGTTTGTAATACAATAATTTAATGCACACACATTACTATGAAATTTCATAATATAATGACGTTTCTCGTCATTATGTAAGAAATGAAATTATTTCTTTCCTCAATCCACACACATGTTACGGTACATACGGCGTGTCCAGTTATGTGCAAAAGTCGTTATTGCATTAAAGTGCAAAAGTCGTTATTACATTAAAGTGAAAAATCGTGACGTAACGATTGTGACATATGAATATCATTGAGATGTCTCGAACAACTGGCGTCTAATAAGTAGCCGAATAAAATAGGTTTGCGAGACACGTGCGCGAACGTGACAGTGACGTCACTCGTTGAACTTTTCATTATTCCAGAGAGAGAGAGCGGGGCGAAAATCAAAGGAACAAAGAGAGCAAGCACGCAGAGGAAAAAGTTTGGTCTGAGAAATTCTATCGATGTCTTAATCTGTACCGCAATTTAATTGATTTGCGGCTTTGTCATTGATCGCAATACAGTCGTCGACCGTAATACGTATCACGATAAATAATTGTGATAAACGCGATTAGCGTTATCCCTTAACGACGTTATCAACTTTGCCCCTCAGGTCCACTTGTGATACGTCCACCGTATCACAAGCGATCACTCAAGAATCTTTGAGTATACTGGTTTACAACTCGAGAAATTTTAAATTTTGACCGATTGATCGGTGGTATTTTCCGAGAGAGAGAGAGAGAGAGAGAGAAAAAGACAGACAGCAGACAGACAAAAGAAAGCCCCGCTCACAGTTTTCATGAAAGTTAGAAAATTCGTAATTTTCACGGGGATTTACAAGCAAAAGTATTCTAGGACACTCTAACACTGGCTCATGGCCAGGGTTAGGTGAGTTACGTAATCCCTAGGCGATTGTAAAGGGGAATGTCGGACAAATCGCGAAATGGAGGGAAAAAGATGACCGCGAGTCTTTCCGAGCTTCCCCGACGACGAACAATCGTCTATATCAGCAGCAGATATTCCATATCTCATTAAAGTCACTTCCAGAATCTTAAGAACCTCTTAATGCCTCCGATGAAATTCGGATCGAATTTCAAGGACGGAGCGGAAACGAGCGAACACGTGGTGTCCGTAGACCGTGTGTCTCCCGGGCAACTCGACGTGAAATTTGCAAAAGGAAAAGACAAGCGTTCACGTCACAAGTGTATCGTACGTGCATGCACTTGCCGTGCGTGAATAAGCGAGCAGATGAATGAGCGAGTGAGTGCATTCAGTACTTACCGCACGCTTATCACACACGTACGAACGGTCGTAGTCGACTGACCAATAGCCCGATCACGAACAAAGTCACAATCGATGCTGAAGCACTAGCTGGCTGGCCTCAAGTCATGAATTCATAGTATTTCAATGGCTGATGCAACCGACGCATGCTCGTGGCGGCGCGTCGACACGTCGCCGGGTGGCGCCAGCTGTGTGTTCGATTAACCGCGAATTTTCACTAGCGACACTGGAACACTCGCGACACATTTTTCGTTTTCTATACAAGTTTGCCTTCACATGGACGAAGAACAACGGATATTATCAGTGTGCACGGAAGTGTGTTGCGTGATAATCGTTGTTGTCATCGCGTCGAATTATATCAAAAGATATCCGTTGATGAGTCAACTGCGATACTGTAATCGCACGTTCGACTCGTGTATACCCGACATTTCTCACAGCGAGATCTATCGGTCGCACTAGCGTGTGCGAATTTGTGTCGGAAAGGATCAGGTGAGGTTAGGTTCGTGTGTAGCGACAAGTGCCGATGTGAACAGATCGAGCGAGCGAAATATTCGAGAATAACATAAAAAGTCTTACATCGAATCACAGATATTTTATTCGGATATGGTAAATGTCACAAAAGGCATCCTAGTCGAATGGTATGTTTGTATGAAAACTTAGATTAGTAGGTAGGCGAGGTAGGATTAAAATAGACTGACGAAAAGAGACTTCACTCTTTGTAATCCAAGTCCTCCGGTATGTCAAATTGCTTATTGAGCTCTTTTTGGGAAATGCCGAATTTGTTTTTACACCAGCTCTGAATAGCAAAGATATTGTCCGTCCACACGTTGATCGCATTCTTGTATTTCTGTCATTACACGTTACTCAGTTGTCATTCATACAAATTAATTTTCTTAACATATTTCTCGATCTTACCTCTGCTTTCTCGTGCATTTCTGCAATTACTTCTGGATCGACGTCGCTGAACCGAGCGACTTGCTGTTTTACTTGTTGCTCTTTTTCTCTCAATGTTTCTACCTCTCGCAACAACATTGTTCTCTCTTCCGTGTCGCTCTTCAATTCCTGCGTGATATAGATTTTTGTTGATGTGAGAAGAAAAAAATATTGAATGATTATATACTCCATGATTAATTGAACTATGTATCTAATTGCTGCGAATCAAACCTTTGTGACAACATTGGCCAACAATTTCTATTTACACTTTTGGTGTGTTTTGCACAATTCAAATGGCCTGAACAAGAGAATTACAGTAAAATAATTTTTTTGGTAAAAGTTTTTGAGAAAGAGGACAATCTTACATTATATGTAATACAACAAATATAAAAGACCTAAATCTTATCATCTTCTATTTTGCATCTAAAGTATAATTTGTAAATTCGGGCAAATATAATAAAAAATAGTCACTTGTATTAACACTCTTGCACGATATATTGCAATTCTATTTGTAAAACAACGCTGATAACAATGCTTAAAGCATAATGTTAAAAAAGGAAAAATATTTCAAATAAGATAGCCTTCTTTAAGCCTTTTTTTAAACTCCCAGCTAAATTAAAACAAATTCACACAGAGGACCTGTTTATCCCTCAATAAACCGACAAGACAATGAAACAATTTTTATATATGATATAGAATGTCAGAGTGCGATCTCACCATCAAAATGTTGCTTTCAATATAGCAGTTTTGGCATACCTTTGCAAAGATCTACCAAACTAATAATAATTTCAAAAGGAAACATAAAATTGTCGCGCATCTTTCTAAAATTGTTACCAATAGAACACATTGCTTACTACATTTGAATGCAGCAGGTCAAAATTAGCAAAAATTGGTCACTTTTATCTGTGGCGAGAAATGGCTGTCTGGACATTTGACCTGTATGATATTTTTACTATTGTCATACTTTCATTTCATTTATATATATATATATATATATATATATATATATATATATATATATATATATATAGAGAGAGAGAGAGAGAGAGAGAGAGAATTTTCGCATCACCTTCTCCTTCGCGATCTCTTCCCTCAGTTTTTGGAGTCTAAATTCCGCCTCGACTAACTTTTTGGTCATATCGGCTATTATTCGCTCCAACGCGGTAATACTTTCTCTGTGGAATATCATTCGCGTGTTAAAATACTCCCGTGTTTCTCTCACACGTAACGACACAGTCATTCTAGAATATTACCCCGGGAACATCCAATAGTAAGTGGAGGTGCCAATCTTCTCAGCACGTACTAAATCGTCGTCTGCCAGAGCTTGTAGTATATCTTTGACGGATTGCATCACAATACCCTTTTCCTTCGGCGCGATCTTCTCAATCTCCTTTAGCGTAAAGAACTCTCTCTTTTCGTGGAATATCTGTAGCATTCGCGCACGTTTCTCGTCCAAAGAGACGCCCCTTCGTTTCGACATAGTGATATCTATGGAGTTGCGAGTAAAATATATTTCATCAGTGATACATTTGTATTAACAATAAAAGTTGTTTATATATATATATATATTTTTTTTTTAAGTGATGCGGCTATGAAACAGTTCCTCCTGCACCTGGACGACACAAGCGCGTTGGGAAAAAAATTTATAATTCAAGACCTAGATGAGAGACACTTGTTTATATCTGCTGATATACTAGAGATTCTACAAGCTAAAGTAGATGATCTAATGGATCAGATATCCTTCCCACTGGCGGAAAAAGGAATGTAAACGGTTGTAAAGGAGAAAGAGGTAAGATATTGAGAAATCCCTCAGAATGGCTGCTCGCGAATCTGGCAGGATCAAGGATGCGTATCAGAAGAGGGTGCTCGATGACGCTGCGCGTAAGCGCCGGCAAAAGAAGGCCTTGGAAGCGTTGGAGCAGGATAACTTTCACGACGACCCACACGCCGATCTGGGTGAGTCACAAGAGGTCAACACGAGATCTCAAGCGGCATATCAAACTCATCTCTCGTAATTCTAGTGATGAGCAAGAAAGTGCCAAAATTTCAAGAGACGCTGGACAGCAGGGACACAGGCAGAAAGAAGAAGACGCGATCCGCAGAATATTACAAGCAGCGTTTTCGCAAGACCTTTGTTCAATTGGTGGAGGAGGATCTCAATGTGAATCCGAACGCCCCGAATTACGCCTGCGCCCAGGCACCGCCGTCACGTTTTCCAGACAGACATTTCTGCGCGGTCTGTGGGTTTCCCAGCAATTACACTTGTATACCTTGTGGTGCCAGATATTGCTGTGTCAAGTGTCTAGGCACTCACATCGACACGAGGTGTTTGAAATGGACGGCCTAAGGATATTTTATGTATTTATATATTATTTAATAAAAAACAAACGCGTATATCTTAGCAATTTATCCTCTTTAGCACCTTTAATCGAGAGAGAAAGAGAGAGAGAGAGAGACTGATTGACTGACTAGTCGATCGAACGATTTGTCATCTGCGAGAATTTCAACATGCGACAACCTCGATGTTCCAACCTGACAAAAGGCACAAATATTCTCTAAACGAAGATACGTCGGTTCAAAATTTTGTCGACACATCCAATTTTGCGTATGTCCGAATTGTTGAAGATACTTTCGGTGCTTACTTTTGTACGATTCGGAGTGAACTCTGTGCAAATACTTCACGCGTGAATGCCGACAGACTACGAGTTGCGGTGCAAATGTTCATTCTAGGTTGGATCGGTTAATTTGACAGTACGATCGAAAGGACTTCAAGCTTCAATAGATGGCTGAGTGCACCTAACTTTAGTAACCCTAAGTCATTGCTTCTTACGATCGAGAGAACAATCTCACGTGCGTTCGTAATGGGGCCGGTGTTCATCAGGGATGGGTAATATGCGCAACAGAAAGGTATTGTGCGCAATTCTGCGGATAATATGCATAAAATGTCTATTATGCGCAGAAAATGCAGAAAACCCCTGAGACGCACCTATTCTAACCTAAAATAACATTTCTTCCTTTAATATATAGGCTGCGTTCTGAAATGCACTGCCAATACTGAAAATATATAGTTTATGTTACGTATATTATAGAATTTCAGTACTGGCAGTGAATTTCGGAACGCAACCATAGTTCCAAGCAGCTTGCACTTTGCTTTAATATCATTCCACGATTTGAAAAGAGATATTGCTCACCACCGAAACGGTACGACTTCGCCAAAAATAAGTAGTTTGAAAAGGATCCTAGGGAGATATACATACCCCCACGGTCGAACCAAGTCTTCTAAAATAACCTATCCAGTCAGAAATGAAAAGTCGAATCAACGTCGACCTAACTTTTCATTTCTATCTAGGTACAATCTTACTCGCTTTTGAATCAGTTTCATTAATACATCTGTATATACATGCAGATATAAAGAAATTAAAAAATGGAATATAGATGAACTACCCTGGGGATTGATTGTATATCTGAAAACGGAGTGAAAATGACAAAAATGAGCAAATTTACTAGGATATTTATAATTTCATTGATCAATGCTTAGTGAATTTGCTTACTTTTGTAATTTTCATTCCGTTTCGAGATATACAATCGATCCCCTGAATGAAGTTAGCCCCCACTTTTTTAATTTATTCTAATATTTGTGCTGATTTTTACTAAGTTTGTGCTACATTGTGCTCGAATTATAGATCTCTAAAACTACATGAGAAAAATGAAAAAAAAACGATTTTTTTGGCCAGCGCCCCACTTTTCGATTTCTACAATTTTTTTCATTGTGCTAAGTTGTGCTAAGTTGTGCTAACATTGTGCTAAAGTAGTCTTGAAATATAATAAATAAAGAAAAAAATGGAAGAAACTGTTTTGGACAAAATAGAACAAAATTGACATTTACTTCGCTATTACTTATTAAAATGGCATATAATTGTGTATCTAAGTTGTGCTAGCCTAGCACAACTCAGATATGCAATTTCGCTTCAATACGATACCTAGAAACTATAGTTACGAACATAGACATCGAGCGTAAAGGGCCGTGGTCAAGAGTAAAGTACCCTTAAAATTGTTGTGCCGGTGAAAACGAAACTTGTGCTGAGTTGTACTCGGCTAGCGCAACTCAGATATGCAATTATATGCCATTTTACTAAGTAATAGCGAAGTAAATGTTAATTTTGTTCAAAACGGTTTCTTCCATTTTTTTCTTTATTTATTGTTTTTCAAAAATACTACTTTAGCACAATGTTAGTACAACTTAGCACAACTTAGCACAATGAAAAAAATTGTAGAAATCGAAAAGTGGAGGGCTGGCCAAAAAACCGTTCTTTTTTTTCATTTTTCTCATGTAGTTTTAGTTTCAGAGATCTATAATTCGAGCACAATGTAGCACAAACTTAATACAAATCAGCACAAATATCAAAATAAGTTAATTCAAAAAGTGGGGGGCTAACTTTGTTCAGGCGATGAACTAGATCCACAATTTTATGATCATGGACAAATATTTATGCTTTGTCTTATATACAAAATAGTTATAAAGCCAACCAATCAGAATGTTTTATTCATTGATTACTTTATTCTGATTGGTTGTGGTAATCATTTACAACCATTTACGACCACACTTACGCAATTGTTAGAATAGCTCTAAAAGAAGTTTTATGCAGCAGAAAATTTCATTTAGTTATCTGCGCAGTTACTCGAGTTTTCTACACATAAAACTTCACTCATAATGGCTTCTGCACACAGGACGCGGTAATGCTTGCCGCGCAATGGAAGTTCGCGCGACAGCCAATCAATATGTTGCTTTTCCGTAAGAGCTAGAAGGTTATTACGGAAAGCAGCATATTGATTAGCTGTCGCGCGAACTTCCGCCGCGCGGCAAGCATTATCGCGTCCTGTGTGCAGGAGCCATAAGTAATGCTTACGATAACGAGAGTAGAGCGAGTGAGATCTGGGGGTCGATTGTATATCTCAAAACAGAGTAAAAATGACAAAAGTGAGCAAATTTACTAGAATATTTATAACTTCGTTGGTCAATGTCTAGTGAATTTGCTCACTTTTGTAATTTTCATTCCGTTTCGAGATACACAATCGACTCCCTGGATCCGAGAGAATAGTATAATCTCCCATCTATAACTGTAATATTATATGGTTTGCTCTTGCTCCTGCTCTTTCAGTCTCATGAACACAGGAGCAGATCAGGAGTTCGTCTCACGAACAACAAAGGGTAATGTATCATACTTAAAGTGTATTAATATGTTATCTTAAATTTATACTTAGAAGTAAGTTTTTCAGATGAATCAAGATTATATATAATATGTCACATATTTCATACGGTTTAATTAAAATAAATTAATCAAGCTCTTTGCAATCTTTGATAATTGCAATTTGATCATCTGACGTGAGTAATAACTATTAATACAGGTTCAGTCCTTGTTTAAGGAGAGTTTGAGAATCTCAAATAATTAATAAGTTGAAATAAAATGTTACATAATTCTTTAAATAAAGAAGATAAAATATTAATATACTTTAAATATGATATATTACCCTTTGTTGTTCGTGAGGCGAACTCCTAGGGCCCGATACTTGACGAAGTACTAATGAGATACGCATGCGAAAATCTACAGTATACGTAACGTGAACTACACATTTTCGCATGCGTATCTCATTCGCATATCGTCAAGAATCGAGCCCTTGATCTGACTGAGCGCGTCGCGTCTGCCTGCGTCACGAGTTAACCAATCAAATCCTCTAAAGCCCGTGTCACACTACGGATTGGAAATTGACGATTGCGGATTAAAGATTAGATTTCGACGAATCAATGCACTTTGGTCTTAGCTTGCTTGGCTCCAATTGGTCAAGTTCCAATCTTTATCCGTAATCCTCTATCTCCAATCCGTAGTGTGACAGGGATGACGCGTGCACGACGCACTTGTTTCAATGAAACGATTTGATTGGTTAACTCGTGACGCAGGCAGACGCGTGACGCGCTCAGTGGGAACTCAGCCTAATGGCTCCTGCACACAGGCGCGGTAAGGGCTATCGCACACAAATTGACATAACTGCATATGCATAGCATAAGACCGTATGTACCAATGAGCATCGAGTATTAAGTCGCCATATTGGTGTTCGATGCTTAATATTCGATGCTCATTGGTCCATACGATCTTATGCTATGCATATGCAGTTATGTCAATTTGTGTGCGATAGCCCTAATGCTTGCCTCGTTCTGTGTGCAGAAGCCATAAAACGTGAGGTATTAAGATCGTTCCACATTAGTTGCAAGCCAATCATAAGCAGACGCAATTCTTATTGCGACAGCCAATCAGAAGCATCAATGGTGCTATTGATGCTTCTGATTGACTGTCGCAATAAGAGTTGCGTCTGCTTGCGATCGACTTGCAACTAATGTAGAACAACCTTTATGCGTATCCAACCCTGGTTCTATGCTGCCGCCGTTACCGACGCCACCGCCGTGACTGCAGTATACGACAATTCGATGAACCCCCATACAAGGTGGTTTTGTTTTGCGGACAGAAGTCCGTGCTTGACAGATACGTCTTTCAAACGTGAAGCAGTTTTGCAAATTTCACTCTGTAACAAGAATCTAACAGAGCGCAATAAACATGTCAGATCCGGAGCTCGAAGCGTTACGACAGCAACGACTGGCTCAATTGCAGTCTCAATACAAGGTAATTACGTCGCTGTGAAACACCGCATATTTACTAAGAGAGAATCGTTTGTAGATATTCGTGTTTTACATAAAATTTTGTAGGAATAAGAATGGACGAAATGTGTAATACAGTTGCAACTGTTGAGATTATTAGTCGGGATACATGATGAAAATTACACATTTAGGTTAAGCATATGTGTATATATATATATACACACACACACACACACACATATCATATTTCAACGAGTTAAGATCACTGAGTGAATATTATGATCTAGGGTAACAATGTCGACAATAAGCAAGCAATGGAAGAGAGAATGCAACAGATGGAAGACATGAGGAACTCTATATTAACTCAGGTGTTGGATCAATCAGCCAGAGCAAGATGTAACTTTTTCTACATAGTTGATAATATTACTATTATATGCAGATAATGTAATAACAGTTGTTAATATTGTGCATTTATTGACAGTGAATACACTTTGCCTTGGAAAACCAGAAAAGGGAAAAATGGTGGAAGAAATGCTTGTAAATATGGCACAACGTGGTCAAATTGCTGGGAAGCTTGGGGAAAAAGAACTGATCAGTTTACTCGAGAGTGTGAGTCAGCAAACACAGAGGAAAACAACTGTCAAAGTTAGTGTGATCCAATAATGCTGTAACAAGATGCAAGTCCAGATAATTATATAATTATCTCAATTATAAATTCTATATTTCAGTTTGATAGAAGACGAGCAGCTTTGGATTCTGACGATGATATGGAGTTATAGCAGTTGTGCAGGTTTTGTATTTAAAATTGCTAAAATTTTAGCACCTTTGATTCTAAAAGATTGCAGATAATCCTTTATTGTTAGATTACATACTTTTAAACTTAGTCTATATTTTTATGCTTTACTCAAATAAAAGTTATAAATACTGATTTGCAAAGATCTTGATGATATATAAAAATACAACTTTCCAATACTGTTTCTCATACACACTCTCCAAATGGTTAGATATCTACAAATAGTATTGGCAATCTATCAGAAAAAAATGCTATATTTTTAATTTTTCTTATTTTTTTATTTGATACATATAAATAGACATTTTTGGCAAATGCAGAATGCCACATACGCACGTAAGACTATTTTTTAATCTCAAAGAGGTCACAATCACATTTTCAGTCTACACGATACAACAAGTAACAATTCCGCATGACTTACATAATGACAATATATGTGTATTGTACATATATTGACAGTATATATATCATCATTGTATTATTCATACATGCAACAAGGACCAATGCTCAATTTATTGTTGAGTAGGACCTCATGAATTGTGTGTGTGAATGTTCACCTTTTCATATATAAATTTTTGATATTACACTTTCTTTGTTAAAAAGCTAGGTTAAAAAGACAGATTTTTTCCGAGTACATGCTCCCGATCTTAACTCGATAGATTGTATTTTCACATGGAATACGCATCACTTTTTGACACGTGACTCAATTGTAAAAAACAGAAAGATTGAAGCGCACGATTATGGATTCACTATCAAAATGAGAAAAAGGAAATTATAAAATGCCAGCAACACGCCTCACTGCATAAAATTTGTCACGTTGTTAGGAATGATTTGGCAAATATCGTCGTGTCACATACGTAATCACAAGCGTTTGTATATATTACACATAATGAAAAATGTATCTCGGAATTCTCTGAGCGATATTATCGTAATTACTTTTAGTCCTTCTTCATATGACTCGAGCCGGAATTTTCTGGAAGTAACAATGTGTACAATGAGATATAACATTAACAAACTAATTAATGTAAAAACTTGAGGATAAAAATATATACACGCGCGCGCACAATACACAATAACATAAAGGACACAATAGATTCTAAGAAAAGAATTACCGTCTTCTTCGTCGTCAGCATCCATGATATCCTGGCAGCAAGTCCCGTAACATATCAACGACAGAAATCCAGCTGGTAATCCAAACAATAATACCGTCAACGTAGGATTGCCCTTCCACATTGCAATTAGAGTAGTTTTCAACTCAAACCAGGACCTATAAATGCGTACCAGCCAACCGTTTCCACCGTATCGCTAAAAATTCATCGTTATTACTAACACGTCATTCAAACGCTGAACCGCGTCGGTAGACACTCTTAGAGAAACACTCTAGCATCGTACCGGAGCGCTCTCGTCACGAATCTGCTCCAGGAACAGTTCTATCATGTACGGAGTCAACTTCCCCGTCTCGTCCTCGGGAATGTGATGATGATTCGTGGTCGTGTTTATCACAATTAAGCTCGGTAAGGGTAGCACCATCATCGCTATACTATTGACTAGATCGGGATTAGCTATCCAACCGAACTGAAAATGGCTGAACGCGCAACTCACGTCATTATTGATATTCGGTTTAAAATACATCCAACAATAATGTAACGTACTCGTGATACTTATCCCGTTTGCTCTTGATTACAGACTCGACCATATCTTTGAATTCTAGCATGTCGGGTGCGACCTCTTCCAACTGATTTTCTTCCACCACCGCTAAAACGAGATTCTTGCTCGTCAAGAACAATTGGTTGATATTTCCTCTGGTCACCTTCGGGAACGTCGAGAAGCGCTCCGCGTTCACCCACTTGTACAGTGTCTCATTCGTTCTCTTCATGTCAATCATCTGATCATGTCCTACAAATCGCAAATTGAACAAATGAATGTGATGTAATAATGTGGTAATGATTGTGTTTTTCTTCCGCGAGACCCACCGGTAAAATTATAATGCGAGTTCTCCTTGTACACGAATAATGCCGGAACGTTCTCTACCGGCGCGTGTTTATTCACGACGTTCGGATGGGACTGATAGAAAAATGCATGCGCTTGAAACATGTTCGCAGTCTTATGATAAAGTTCCTATAAATGATAAGTGCTCAGTGAATTATTAATGATGCACATATGGTTGAGATTATATCTTGAATACAATCTGCTGGAAAATGTAGTATCATAATTTTATTTTCATAAAGTTGCTAAAGAAAGCTTACCCATAAAACTCCAGATCTTTCTCCTACATATAAGAAGTAGAGGTCACGTTCTCTCTTTATAGTGTCAAAGCTTTGAGTCCTCGTAATCTCTTGCACAGGTGGACCACTTAATCTTAAAGCGAATTTCACAATTTCATCTCTGGTTCTGTCACCATGATACATAAATTCCTGTTCACCCTTTAAACTGTAAATTGAGCTTATAAGACATTGATCGTTTGCGAGTTTGTCAATAAGTAAAGGAAGATATATGTACAATAGAATAGTGGGAAATCCTTTCACTTTGAACGCATGTACCATGCTGGTAAACCTGGTGCAATCCACACGTCCCACTCGTATCGACGTAGCATGCAAATTCTGAGCTACGTGAGCCCAAATTGGTTCCAATCTTTTGCAATGTGCGCACCATGGTACATACATCTGGAAACAGAATTAGCTTTCAAGTGTGAATAAATGATGCGCTAAATTTACAAAAAAAAAAAAAGAACATACCATAACTAGCCATTGTCCGTCTTTACGTATATCCAGAAATCTACAAAAAATGTATGTATTGAAAAAAAACAGAGTCAAACGGATGATCGAGCAAAAATCGTCACTTCTCTTACCTATCACTTAATTCAATCACGCGCGACGCCGCTGTGTGCGTCAAAAATGCTGAAAAAACTAAGTTGTATTTCGATGACAAAAAGTGCGCAAGCAGAGTACTTGTGATTCTAAATTCGTGTCGAATCTGTTGACTGCGGCACTTTTTTCCCGATTCGATCACGAGTGCGTACACGATATATCGTAGATATATACCGGGAATGGTGCAAGAGAGAGTAAAGAAGAGACGTTAAATCTCACGCGTATAATACGATTACTTTGTTTAAGCTATAGAAATTCAGTTAGACAGATGTCAGGCGAGCGTTATCGATCGATCGAGCGACGTGTCAAGTAATATCACGCGTAAAATCGCGTAGCAACTTTTTTGCACGTGCGAGGGAAACTCTATTAATGTAGCGCCAACACAGTGCCCGCTTACCATAGAGAAGTGCGACGAAACAGACTCGCGTCAGGGAAACCATTCCGCGATCGTGGATTCAAGATCTCGAGAGACGACGAGAGCCAGCCTCCTTCATTTAATCCTACGGGAGCACGGGCGTGTCGAGCGAAACTATCGCGTCATTTCGATGTTCGCGCCTTTGCTGACTAAGTAGATTTTAACTGTCTTCTCTTTTCTTTTTTATTCTCGTTCTCTCGCTTGTCGCGTGAGCTCATGCGAGACGACCGAGTGCATTCTGCTGCATCTTCAGTTTACGTATACGACATACACTTCGTGCCATCAAACTTGCAACTGACCCCACTCAGTGTTGCCAGAGAGAAGCATGAGAGCGGCACCAGCCTGATTTCAATGGCCAGAGCTAGGCACATTTTCGAGACGCCATCTAACAAAGTGCACCTTTACTATGTTCGTTAGGCGCATTTTCGCGGTGGTGACGATAAGATGCGCCTAGTTCGCACCCGTTATATTTCCGTACAATGATAGCATATACTATTATATCATCGATGATATTTATACGTTCATGTCGTCGACATATAGGCCAGTATTCATAATTCGATCTTATATTTAAGATCATCTTAAGTACTGTCTTAAGATGTCATGAACCAATCACAGAGCTGTATTTACATCTTGAGACATTACTTAAGACCTTTGACTATATAAGTATGGACTGCCAGTTGGCATCCTCACGCTGTAATCAACATGAAGAGCGCCTCCAAGGTATAAGTGGCGAATCTCAGTATTTCGATGATATATTGGGTGTTTCTGATAATACCTCTCCGAGTCATTTCCCTAGAGCAGAAATAAGTTACAGACATTACCATCTACTACTATTATGTGATTCATGACAACCCAAAGCTACCTAAAGCCCGTATCAGACTACCGACTGCACAGGCCAACCCGACTGCCGACTCTCAATGGACCAATCACAGTGAGGCGCCGACTCGGGCTTTATACTGTCACACGACGCAAGCAGTGGATTAGGTCAGATTAGGTAGAACAATACCGTGACAAATACACGAGATAATAATTTTATAAAATTATATTATTGATTATAAAATTATCTGGTGTTGTTTTCTAATAAAATTTTATTTATTCTTAATTAAAGTTATATAATCATTAAAATATATATTATATTTTTCAAATATTATTCTAAAGCAAAAAGTCACACTGTTTTAACCTATTTGCAAGTATTGTTTTTACATGACTCGTGCAGGTGCAAATCCACAATAAATTATGCCATTAGGGTATATTGATGACAAAACAAGATAGATTTGTTTGCACAGTTTGTTTTAAATTGTATGTAATTCTACAAATATTTCTTAATGTTGCTATTTTTTTAACATTATTTGAGTTATTTCTTTTATACTTTAATATTCATTACATAAACATTTTTAGATAAAAAATGAATGTACTAAAAATGTGGGAAATATTTTTTTATCACCTATCCGATAAAGATGATGAAGATAACTTCCAACTTCCACGGGAACATCATATAAAGATCCCACATTTTTTTGAAAACATTGTCATAGCATATTCATTGACAGGTAAAAGAATTTGAAATTTTGCTGTACTAAAATAATTTATTGTTTTAAGTTTATATAAATGTTCTTGCATTATATGTTTTGATTACAATAAACTATATTAAAATAGATTACATTAATTACATTATTAAAATAGATAACATTATACATTATTAAAATAGATTTTAAATCTATCTTGTTTTGTCATCAATATACCCTGGCATAATATATAATGGCATAATTTATTGTGGATTTGCACCTGCACAAGTCATGTAAAAACAATACTTGCAAATAGGTTAAAACAGTGTGAATTTTTACTTTAAGATAATATTTGAAAAATATAATATATATTTTAATGGTTATATAACTTTAATGAAGAACAAATAAAATTTTATTAGAAAACAACATCAGATGATTTTATAATCAATAATACAATTTTACAAAATTATTATCTCGTGTATTTGTCATGGTATTATTCTGCTTAACCCACTGCTTGCAGTCGTGAAACAGCATTAGGTAGCTTTGAGTTGTCATGAATCACATAATAGTAGTAGATGGTGATGTCTGTAACTTATTTCTGCTCTAGGAAAATGACCGGAGAGATATTATCGGAAATGGGTGGGACCCGATTGACCACGATACAATTGGACACAGATTATAATGATTGGTTCGACCTAGTAATTCACTAGATAATTCTTTTCATCGGTTGGTTGTGTCCAATCGTACCGTGGTCAATCGGGACGCTCCCATCGGAAACATCCAATATATGTTACATATACTATAGCCAGAGAAAAACCTAAGAGTGGCCACGCCATATGTTTTGGCCGATACCGATTTTCACGCTATTCGATGCGCCATCTGCACCCATTTTTTAGGTGGAATTACGTTCCCTACGCCTATTTTCAGACAATGCCGGTAAAGTATCAATTTGTTGCGTGTCCATTCTATGCCCATTTTCTGGCGATTTGTGCCCGTGTTAAGCGCATAATTGCATGGTTAAGAACATGGACAATCCATGTTTTCAATCACGCAATTATGCGCTTAACACGGACACAAATCGCTAGAAAATAGGCATAGAATGGACACGCAATAAATTGACACTTTACCGGCAGCCTAAAAAATGGGTGCAGATGGCGCATCGAACGGCGTGAAAATCGGTGTCGGCCAAAAAACGTATGGCGTGGCCGCTCTCAGGTTTCTCTCTGCTATAGCACTTCTAGTAATAGAATACATCTGGGTGAGGAATCTGAACGCAGTCCAACTGATTGTGAGTGTACTTCCATATTAAATTATTAAGCCGAGATTCAAAGACCCATATTCTGAACCCTCTTTTACTTATAAAAGTGCCTCTAAAAGAGGCTTACGAGCCACCTGATTGGCCACCTGAGAAGCTACATTTAAGACACTTTTATCGAGGATTTTTAAAGAGGATTCAGAGTATGAGCCAATCTGAATAGCAATGAAACTTCTACACTTTTTACACTCGAAATTAAGTTATGTATATTATACTCGCGGATTTGGAAATGAAAAACAAAGAGGCGAAGCGACTTAAAAGGTAGCTTAGTAGTAAAATATGAATATTGAAAGAGGTGAGCGATATAACAATTGTTTGAATTTTATATATATATATATATATAAAGTATATATAAAATATATATATATAATATTATATATATATATTTTATATATACTTTATATATATATATATATATAAAGTATATATAAAATATATATATATAATATTATATATATATGTGTATATATATATATGTATATATATATATATGTGTGTATATATATATATGTATATATATATATGTGTGTGTGTATATATATATATATATAATATATAATATATAATATATAATATATATATATATATATATATATATATA